AAATTCAGAAAATAGAATAGAGACAACATCTTTACTTCACCAATTTTTTAATTTTGTTAAAACACCAAATTGTTGTCTGATTTTTCTATTGTCTTAGAAAATTAGAAGACACCTTTTTTTTTTATGTTTTTTCAAAATCAAAAATAGATTTTTCAAAGTTAATATTCATTGATGGCAACTAAAACTATCTATGCACTCAAATGACCTCCCATGCCACTATCATTGGTAACCATCGATATCACTGATAAGGCAATAACCAGTGCCACTACTTCGACTCCTGCTATTGTTAGTGTCATCAGCTATTGGCATCCTCAACAGCACCATGCCGACTATTGTCACCACTCACCACTACAAATCACCACTATTGGCAACCACTGCCACCATTGACTGCAATTGCGGTTCACCACCACGACCAACCCCATTGCTTCCGTTTACCACACCACCACCAATAGCCATCGCCCATCACAGAACCGCAGGTGGTACCAACACTACATGTGTGTTATTGGAAATATCTGAAAAACAAGTTAGAAAACAAAGAAAACAAGAAAGAGAAAGCAGTATGGTAAGCTATAGAAAACTGTTAGTATTTCACATTGGAAATTTAAAGAAGAATGATGGGTTTATAAGATCTTGAGTCGGACTAGCCAATCAATTGATGAGTTAATAAGATCTTGAGTTGGGCTAGTTAATTGATCGAGTTCAATTGTTTAGTGTGGTTCAGCCAAAGTGTCTTGTGAATCAGTTGAACAACCTCTACCTAATCATAAAATTTTATAAAAAACAATCTGAAATTTGGAAAACATAAAAGTAAAGAACTTATTAGCTTTTGGAATTTATACGATTTTTTATACATTATGATCCTGTTATTGTATGTATACTCATGCATTTTGAAGCTTTGCCATTCCAGATACTGCCGGTAAATGTCAAAAGTCTAGGCGGCAGTGTGGCAACACTGTCGAATTGGATGTCCGCCTGGGTTGTCACAATGACTGCAAACTTGCTTATGGATTGGAGCAAAGGAGGTTCTTTCTCTCTCTCTCTCCTTTCCCTCTCTCTCTCTCAATGTTATAAAAAGCGCTTGGTGTCTACTAAGTAGAACTAAGTGTGCCTAAGAAGAAGAAAAACCTTATTGCATCACTACTACTAGAGGGTGTTTCACTGATTTTGAGATTGATTCTCAACTTTCAATTTTGGGTAGAAGTAGTTTGGCGTGTTTGGTGGTGTCTGATTTTCACTCCTTTTTTTTAAGCATGTCCAAACGCCGTCTTAATACCATTATAAAATATTTTTTTAATTTCATTTTGAACGTTGGAATTTTTTTCTCAAGATTTTAAAGCATATGAAAGCCTTGTGATCGTGTGTTTTTGTGCTTTGGGTCTGCTTGTTAGCGTCTGTATGTATGCTTCTTTTCTCTATGCTCGTACTTTTTTTGTGCCCTTGTCGATTTTCTTTGTCCGTACTTCTGTATTTGAGCTGAGATCTCTTGGAAACAACCTCTCTACTACCTAGTAGAGGTAAGGTTTGCACACACACCCTCCCCATAACATACTTTTTGAGAGCTAACACTGTGTTCTTTGTCTCTTAACTGATCTGTCATGAGGTAATAATAGCTAAGAAATCAATCTTTTAAACAGGAACGTTCACCCTGTACGCTCTAGTGTCAGCTTTCACAACAGTTTTTGTATACCTCTGGGTGCCCGAGACCAAAGGAAAGACGCTAGAGGCAATTCAATTGTATTTCAGATAGAGCCATCAATCATCAAATCATCTCCATCTTCATCAAGTCTTTCTCTCTCTCTATATATACACTGAGTAAACAAGACAGGTACTGTACTGATTAAAACAGTTTCGTTATCTATCTTCCTTTCGTGCATTTTGTCTCAACAATCTACGAATGCTTCGATTCCATATTCCATGGCTTGCAACTTACAGAGGTGAACATTATGGAATGAAAAAGGAACGAACATATGATGCCTTGGAACGATACCTTGCTTCCGAGTAGTTTGCTGTCAAAGCGCGCGCGTGCGTACATGTACACACTCCGTATACGCTACTAACATCTTAGTGCATGTAAATTTGTTTAGGTGTATCTAAGAATTTATGAACTTTCTTAATAGCTACATAAGCATTTTTATAACGTTATGATAAACATTCATTTAATTTATTTTCTTTATTAATTTGCTTATGTTATAAATTGTGTGCATTGTTACTCCCTCTGTCCCATTTCAAATCATCTGTTTTGACTTTTGGGCATATTTAAGGAAGAGAACAAATAGAGTTGATTTTCCGAAATTGTCATTACTTTTTAGGAGGGATGGGTAGTTTAGATATTTTACTCTTAAAAGTTTATGATAACAAGTAACAGACAATTTATTTTGGGACGGAGAAAAAAGCTAAACAAGCAATTTAAAATAAGACAGAGGGAGTATAATTTATATGGGATTAAGGTCCGCAGTAGAAGCACTCCACAATTATGTTCTTGTGCGAATAATCAGCGAAAAATTAGGTTCATGAAAATTATTTTTTTAATGGAGTTTTGCTACTACTTGAACGCTCGTTGGACACGAACAATCCTAGCACTAGTTACAAGCTTAAAGCTTACAATAATGAGACCTTTAATTATTCTTGTAATTTGGGATGGTAAATTTTATAAGGTCGAGATGGGATTGAAATAGAAAAATCAAAATCACAAACCAAAACCAAATCCAAATTAATCCGAAAAAGTTATAATAAATTGGATCGGTAACAACCTAATCCCGAGTTGTTATTGTTTGAATTTGGTTTTCACCCTAGAAAATTGAACAGAATAAAGCGGTTAAAAGAGTGATTTTTCCAGATCTCTTACAATAATACTCCCTCTGTTTCAAAAAGTCTGACACGTTTTAAAAAAACTACGTCCCGTAAAGTCCGTTATATTTCTATTAAAAACTCACTTTTACCCATTACTTTTTCATACCCTACCTATCACATCATACCTTTTTTCCTAATAATCTACTCATTACATTTTACTTTTACCCATCACATCAAGGGTATTTTTGGAAGGTCAACACCAAAATATCCCTTCCTTAATTTCCCAAAAAGTTAATATGTACCAATCTTTTTGGAACGGAGTGAGTACATATTACTCCATACGTGTTTGCTTACGTTGTTTTATACTCCCTTCGTCCACAAATAAACTTTACGTTCACTATTCACAGGTTCAAACTTTATTCACTTTGTTCGCCTATTTTCGTCACCCATTTGATAAAATAATATAGTCATGTCACCTCTAGTTTTGTAGATCTTTTGATATAGTTTTTTAATATGTAATTTTCATTTTTCAATTCTACACCATTTTTCATATAAAATGATTTTAAAATAACTTCAGTCAAACATCGTAACGCGTAATGTAAAGTTTATTTTTGTTTCTTCCCTACAAAAGCTATGCTCTTTTAAAAAAATTAATTTAAACTTAAAAAATAAAAATATTAAGAATAAAAACACTAAAACCCTAACAATGCTAACATTAAAATTTGATGTTTTATTATATTTGCATGAGACGATATAATTTATGTTACAATTTCATTAAACAAATCTTCTATGTTTAAATGCAGGTTTAAAGTTGTTACTTTATAAATGATTTTTAAATTTTTTTAGAATATACTTCGTTCTAATTCTTATTTTTAAAAAAATAAAAAACCAAACTGATTACCTAACGGTTGTCATATTCTTTCAATGTAAAACAATATCGAATTGAACCAAACTTTTAGTTTCGGTTTGATTTTCAATTTAGGTATAAAAAATATTAAAAAAACTGTAGATATGTTCTTTCTTGGGAAAGGAATGAGAAGGAGAAGTAAAAAGCTGACGTAGCGCTGAGTTGGAAGAAGGGGGAGAAAGGGAAAGGCATTGGGCACACACCATAGCCTAATGCACTAAGTCAATAATATGTCTCTTTTAATGGTCAATACTATAACCGACAGTAACAACAGATAGTAATAAGCACTAACTAACAATATATGGTTAGTTAACAATAAGCAATATGGAGTGAATCTGGCGCAGTAAGTTGAAGGTGTTGAAAATACTGCAATTAAAAGGCGTACGATAATGTTCTTATGGGAGCAATCATCTATCGGTGAAAATTTTAAATATGAAATTCCTATTAGTGAAGTATGTGTTCATAGAACACACTTTAGTGATACCCTAAAAAGTTCTCATTGAACATGTGTTCATCAAACACAGGTCAGTGACTTTTTCTTTTTTCTCTTTCCTACATGCTTAACTCTTACCTACTCTAAATAAACATGTGTTCATCGAACAGATGTTAGCTATTTTTTAAAAATGCTTTCTTTTATATTGTATTATTCACGTAATTTAAATTCTCTCTCTTTATTCACATTGTTTCCCCAATTACAATCCTCGTTTCATAAAATAATATAATCATACATCTAATTTTGCATATCTTTTGATGTAACTTTTAAATATATATTCCCCTCGACCATATTTTATTTTCTCATTTGACATTTATCTTAGTCAAATATAAACTTTTATCAGTAGAAAATGTAACACCGCAACCAAAGTAATATGCATGAGCGTACGAGTCAGCAATTCAGAGATACACAATATTTTAAAACATTTAAAACAAAACACCTATTTATATTAATTTAAAAATGGAAAATGCTAGGGGTACACCAAAAAAGTGTACCCCAAACATCCTCACCCCCTCCATCACCACAAAAAAAAGAAAGAAAAATTCAAAAAAAAATAAAAAATAAAAATAAAATAAAATAAATGATAAAAAAGAGAGTGGTGTACATTTGGGGTACACATTTGGTGTACCCTAGCCCTTTAAAAATAACTCACATACCCACGCACCACCTGACCATTTTCTCCCCATTTCTCCTGCTGCTACGTACGGTCTGCAACTCTCTCTCTCTCTCTCTCTCTCTCTCTCAATATCTCTCTCAATAACTTCGTCTGAATAAATGGTCCGGCCATGATTATGAATAAATACTGGCCGGCCACATTTGTTCCGTGAATGTTTGTCGGGAAACTGGTTTTCACAGTGTTGTTAGGGTTTTAGGCTTTTTTTTTCTTGTTTGTTTTTCCGAAAAGGGGAAGTTTGATGCTCTCGGAGCGAGATGATGTTCTCAAATGGATCAGCCTTGGGAGCTCTATCATCAGCCTTGAACAATTAGGACTGAGTTAGTAGTTGTATACTGTCAAACTTATTTTTGACTTGTGGTTCGGAAGCCTCCTGGAATGGAATTGAGGTATATTTGATGTTTTGTTTATTAAGCCTCCACAGAGTAGTGCACATTAGGTGTTCGACAGAATGCCTTCTGTCAGATATTTGCAACTTCTACCCTTTTGGAAGTTATGGTTAACAGACTTCCTCAGACTTCAATTAATTTGGCGTATGGAAATTCAATTAATTCATAAATTCATAAATTCAAAATGATGATGATGATGGTGCACATAGATGAAGAAGAGTATCCCTCCTTGTCCAAAGCTAGCATCATAAGCACTAAACCCAACCACTTGGGCACTGGTTTGGTTCAGATTTCAGTCCCTCCTGTTGCTGAATCTCTTCCATCTGCTGCTACGAATCACCTGCAGAACAAGTTCACGATGCAATAGCACGAGAGAAATGTATCCAGCATTGGATGAGAAGATTGTAACGGGAACTGCTCTGGCTGATAAAGTGCTTCTCAGGCAAGTTTCTTCTCAGGAGTTTGCAGAGAAGAAGCATCTTGAGAGCTTCTGGTGTGTGAATTCTGCCACAGTTCATCATCTTGAGAGCATATGTAACCTGCTAGTACTGTACAAGAACCCCAAAGATGGATGATCTTAAGAAAGGTCTGCACCAAAAATTAAATTTCTTGGATCACTAATACATACTGATCTGAATGTGTGATTTCAATGTGCACTGTGTGACTGAGGTATACAATGGCAGGGAGAACCCTTCTGGAGGTAATGAAGGGGAAAGGAGCAACAGCTAATAGCCTAATTCTTCGGCCTGAACTAGCACAGAAGCCACGAAGCAACTTGGTGGCACAGGATTTCTAGTAGATCATATACCAAAGCACATGGCGGGTAAGGTTGCACCAGGTGGAGCCATAGACTATTGGTTGGAGAGTGCTGGTTTGGTCAATGTGAGGGAAGCTGGAGCGAGTGATCCTTTTTGCTTTCTTGTTTTGAAGTTGATGGTGCGGGTAAGGTTGCACCAGATCACTTTTTACTGCCATTTCATTTAATTATGTACATGCTTTCTTGTTTTGAAGTTGATGTGAATGTGCAAAAAAAAATCACTTTAGACATCTTATTATTATCCATTACAAGGAAACCATAATACCCAGATGGATGTATTAATGATGGTGTTGGGATACAGAGAGAAATTGGGAAGTTTGTAATTTTGTTTACCTTTAAATATGTACATTGAACAGCGACTGACGTCTGTCAATATTCGCTGCACAAAAATTTGATCAATATCAGGTTTCTAGTTCGGGATCGTAAAATGGTCGAGTTGGATTTCCTTTGCATTATGGTAATTTGGCTGCGAATGATGAAGAGCACTCAGCTGCTACGAATGGTTCAGCTAATGGTAATCATTGGATTCTAGCACTAACACCACCACTAATAGCACCGCCATCGCCGCCGCCACCTGATGCTGTTAATCGGGTACGCACACATGCATACATATTTATACGTTCATAGGATTTGTGTTAAAGTTTGAATGCTACTCCAATACATGAACATCATCATTGTATTTATTATTAACATTGTATTTCATTGTTATTTTTCGGGTCCGCTTAAAATCTTTATTGTTGGAGAGGCACAGACAGACTGGTATGCACTACTCTTATAATTTACGGTAAACATTAACCCCAACATTTTATTTCATATGTTTTGCGCCATGCAGGAAAAAGCAGTTTTGTATCCAGAAATTTAGACGCCCAAGTGGTCAATATCGATTCCACCAGATACCTTCATGGTAAGTTATTGCTTAATGTCTATATCACTCCCTCCTCCCTTAAAACCTTTCTCGTTTTGACTTTTAATGGATTTAAGAAAATGATATTTTTGTGTTGATTTTCTGAAATTACACTTGATGTAATGTGTAAAAGTAAAATGTGAGGGTAAATTATTAGTTAATAGATATAATGTGATAGGTAGGGTAATGATTAGTAGAGGTCAAAGTAGTTTTTTAATAGAAAATGATTTTTTTTGAACGAATGTAAAAAGAAAAAACAAAGGTTTTAAGGGATAGAGGGAGTATATTTTTTGAAGAGACTTAGGGTAGTGGGTAGGGGTGGGGGGAGGGGTAGACCTATGAAGATTTTGAGAGAGCTGATTAGACATTACTTAAGTTCTGGGCCTTTACTCGAGATATGACCTTAGACCGAGATCTAGAACTACAGTAGTTGGGTGGTCGATTGGGCCTTAGGTATTTGTTGTGGCTCTTGTCGTGTTACTCGTGTGTGATTTCTTACTTATTGCAGCTTTCTATCTCTCGATGTCTTCCCATACCTTAATTTGCTCTTTGTATTTTGTGTTCGTGTTTCGAGCTGGGGTCTCTTAGAAACAGTCTCTTTACTTTCGAGTAGGGGTAAGGTATGTGTACACATACCCTATATTTTATTCCATTGCGTAAAATGAACTAGCTCTCCGAATGCTTCATAAGGTCATATCCTCAATAAAGGCAAGAAATCCTAAGTCATATCTAATCACCTCCTTCCAACTCTTCACATGCCTACCGCCCCTTCCCCTACTTTTCCCTACCAACACAAGCCCCTCGCATCTCCGCATTGAAGTATCAGCATCCTGCAGTCTCCAACTCTTCTTAGGTCTACTCTTATCACTTATAAAATTATGATTTCAATCTCTTCAAACAACTTCAATTTAATTTTTAAAATCATATCATTTCTCTCAAATTTCAAAATACATAGTAAATCATATCTTCAAAACTCATCAAACGATCTCATTATGTACTAATGTCGCTGCTGCAACCAGAACATGTGGCTCCGCGAGCTAGATGGGCACTGCCAACTCAAGATCGGGCGTGCCGCTAAAATGGATATTTACAATAATATTTAATTCCTTGTATGAAAACATATAACAACAATATTTCGTAAAACGTATAAATAATCTTACAAGTATTCTTGCAAAATGTATTCGAACGACTCTTTCCAATTTTCATTTATTATGGCAAAAACCTCAATGTATTGATTACCACAACGGGCAGCTATCATCTGCGGTTCAATCACTTTCACATCGAAGTCATTCTTGTTTCCAAGAATGACGAAACGATTAAGAAAACCATTACCTTTTACCCCAAATTCAAAAGAAAAAAATTAATGGTGTTGGCAATGTATAATTAATTTGATACAAGTTTAAAATATTAACTACCCATACAACAAAGTAGATCCAAAATTGTAATCTCTCTAGAGTCTCTAAGTTAGTTACGTCCAGCATAATCATCACACCATCTGCCTCATTCCTACAATTAAAAGTAAATACATATGTTACCACAATTATATATAATGGATCCTTCGCCCCAAAAATATCATCCCACTTCTAATAGCTTTTAAATTCCCGTCTCTTTAAAAATCATTTTATTAACAAATCAGTGTAGAAATTTACATATTATAAAACTACTACCAAATTAGAGCTCACAAAAATATTTTAATTTTGAAAATAATCAATTAAAAATAGACAAATAAACAAAGTTATCGAGACACCACATTAGTAACTGAGATGATAATTTTGGAATGAAGTGAGTAGAGAGTAACATATAAAGAAGGTAGGCGATGAAGTCATTTGCAGTGCATATGCATGACACTGATCGTATCCACCATGACGAGTCATAACACTGATCGTATCCACCATTGGAGCCGATGTTATGACTCGTCATGGTGGATATGATTAGTGTTATGCACATGCATTGTAAATGACCCCTTACCTACCTTCTTTATATGTTACTCTCTACTCTCTTCATTCCAAAACTATCATCTCAGTTACTAATCTGGCATCTCGATAACTTTGTTTATTTGTGTATTTTTTATTGATTATTTTCAAAATTAAAATATTTTTGTGAGTTGTTATTTGGTAGAAGTATATGTAAATTTCTTTACCGATTTATTAATAAAATGATTTTTAAAGAGATGCGAATTTAAAAGTTAATAGAAGTGAGATGATAATTTTGGGGCGAAGGATCTAATATTTATAAATGTGGTAACATATGTATTTACTTTTGATTGTAGAAATGAGGCAGATAGTGTGATGATTATGCTGGACGTAACTAACTTAGAGACTCTAGAAAGAATACAGTTTTGGATCCGCTTTGTTGTATGGTTAGTTAATATTTTAAACTTGTATCAAATTAATTATACATTGCCAACACCATTAATGTTTTCTTTTGAATTTAGGGTAAAAGGTTATGATTTTCTTAATCGTTTTATCATTTTTCGAAACAAGAATGACTCTGATGCGAAAGTGATTGAACCGCAGATGATAGCTGCCCGTTCTGGTAATCAATACATTGATGTTTCCGCCATAACAAATGAAAATATGGAAGAACCGTTCGTATACCTTTTGCAAGAGTACTTGTAAGATTATTTATATGTTTTACGAAATATTGTTGTTATATGTTTTCATACAAAGAATTAAATATTATTGAAAATCTTCATTTTAGTGGCAGGCCCGATCTTGAGTTGGCAATGCCCATCCAGCTCGCAGAGCCACATGTTCTGGTTGCAGCAATGCCATTAGTACCTAATGGGATTGTTAGGTGAGTTTTGAAGATATGATTTACTATGTATTTTGAAACTTGAAAGAAATTATATGATTTTAAAATTTGACTTAAAGTTGTTTGGAAAGATTCGAAAGCATGATTTTATAAGTGATAAGAGTAAACCTAAGAAGAGTAGGAGACGGCGAAATGTTGATGCTCCAGTGCGGAGATGCACGAGGCTTGCATTGGTAGGAGAAGGGGTGGTAGATATGTGAAGAGTTGGAAGGAGGTGATTAGATATGACTTAGAATTTCTTGCCTTTATTGAGGATATGACCTTAGAAGCATTCAGAGAGCTAGGATTAGAGTAGCTAGGTAGGTGCCTTGAGCTTGGGTGTGTTGTTGTTGTAAGGGTAAGGTCTGGTACACACACCCTCCCTAGACTCTACTTTCGTCGGATTCAACAGGGTGGTTGTTGTTGTTGATTTAATAAGTGATAAACGAGGGTGACCGACAACGAGGGTGGTTGACCGGTGGCGAGGAGTGGTCGAAGTTTGAGGGAGAAACCAAACTCCTATATTGATATCTCCCAAATTTAGGAGATATGAAAACCATCCATTTGGAGAGTTTGTGATATTTGGTGATATTAAATTTGAAATCTCTCTAGGTTTCACCAAACACAAAAAAAAGATTTTGATATCTGGAGATATTCAAATTTGTATCATTTTTGTTCTCCAAACATGCGTAAGACTCTTCAAGTGGTGGAGGTAGGAGTGAGCATTTTAACAAACTTGATCGTTCAACCGCTGAATGAAATTGGACCGATTGAGAGTTCGATTTCAGTTATGTTTTAGTTTTTATTTTTTTGTTGGTTATTTCGGTTTTTCGATTTCGGTTTTGGTTAGGGCTCCTGCCGTAAAATCGATTACCCAAACCTCTGTCCATAATATACAAAGTATTTATTTTTAATTATTCTACAAGTACATCCCATTTTAATTCTCGTATTTTTTAATTAACCTAAGTCGTCTCCCTTTCTTTTTCCTCAGTCATATCGGTGTTGGTTCCCTAGTTGTATTTTATAGTTGGCATTATTTTTTGACAAAATCGTGTTTTGTAGTATTTTTTGTGTTTAGCCGTGTTGAGAATAGAGCTGTAGCATCCTGTCTGTCACTCTACAAGTTATCATTTTCTTACAAAGAGTTTTTCTTCACAAAGAGGTCTAGGCATAATAAAACTTCTCATAGCAGTTGTGTCCTAGAATCCGAACTCCTGAAAATACAGTTTGTATAAGCCACGTCTCTGCACCAAGAGTTTCGCATCGGATGGACACTGTATTAAACCATCAAAGCTGCTTCACGTGACTGGAACTCAGACTCTAAGCCGTGTCAAGAAGCTGGTTAAACTGGGACTTTCGTAGGGTTTGCTTCATAAAAATATAAAGCAATGCTGTTAAATTGAGGTGGCGGATGAACACAAAAATTTGAGAAGAGTGAATATATTTGAGAGAGTTTCGTTGGTCAGTCATCGTCTTGAGATATTGATAAAAGTTTATTCATTGATGATGATTGGTTGAGGTTTACAACACACGGAGGTATTGAAGGTTCAATGAGCATTTCAGAAGCTGATACGAGTTATTCTGGGGCGCAAGCCACTGACTCAGATAAGTTGATAGGTGTTACATTTCTTAATGTGTGTGCACAAACCGTGTTTGATGCATTACCTTTCAGTTAGAGTTTAGGTCAAGACTTAGATCGAGTCTTTAGTTATTGAGGGTGTAACTCTACTGTGAGATAGTGAGAAGGCTATTACACTGACGTGGGCCTTGCAGATGTAGGAGATTTTGCTCCGAACTGCGTAAACAATTTGTGTGTCGTGTGTACTGTTCTTTATTGTTTTGTGTGTGTGTGTGACGGTTGGTATAACCCATTGTCTGTCATCATATATAGTGATAGTGCTATAGCATCTTATGTGACAACTTTTATTAGTGCTGACTACTTAGGTTGACTGATGCACTCCCCATAAATTTTAAATTGGTATTGGAGCAAGTTAAGCTCAAGTTATCAGCTTAAAGATCCATCATGGGGGACATGGAAGAAGTAGCCAATGTTCAACGACCTCCACTCTTGAGGGGACCAAACTATAATTTCTGGATGGGGCGCATGAAGACATTCCTCAAATCACGAGGAAGGGTCTCGAGGAGCATTGAGACTGGCTGGAAGCCACCTGTGACGACAGTTGAAGGATCAAATGTCGGAATTCTCAAAGCATTTGAGGAATACAGCAAAGACGAGGCGGCAGCAGCAGAATGCAATGACAAAGCACTAAACGCCTTGTTTGGTGCAGTGTATCGCTCACAGTACAATCTTAAAATAATACTCAGCCCTCAGTCATTGTAAAACTTAAAAGCACCTTTTCTTTGTAAAATTTATTTTTGTTAGAAATATTTATTTAAATTGGGACAAATTCTTTATTAACTTAAACATTTTATTATTGCATGAGGTTATCAATTTAGATTATGAATTTGCTACACACAGGTAAACAAAAAGAATGAAGTGACATATTTCTGGTGACAGATGGGGTGAGACGGTCGTGATGGATTTGTGGATTTAAATTATTATCTTAAAGATATAAAATAATTGTTTGTGATTATCATAAGACATGTTTTAAATTCGCTTCTGCATTATTAAACACTCCGTATTTCTATAATTTATGTATTAAATATTATTTATAATAAATAAAGATGTTCGAAATGTTTTAAATTTTACGATTATCAAGTTTATACTTTTAGTCCGAAAGGGGCTACAGACCTGGACGGATTAGTGTGTTACATCCAATAGTAAATAGTGATTCCCCACCTCTCATTATATCCCTTCTCTTACATCTATTTTTTTATCTGTCCATCGTTTTACCAATGATAACAATTGCACCATTGTTTTTAATGCCAATGAATTTCAGATAGTGGAAAACATTACCAACCAAGTGCGGTACAAGGGTCTCCATGTGTGCATCAATTGTCACGCGGCGGAGGCTATGTAGCCAAGTCACAATCAAATGTCGTAGGCACTTCTATGCTGAATGCACTATAATGCTAGGGTAAGTGCCTCTTCTAACACCAATTGGTTTTAGAAAGATTGGTAGCATCCGATGTTCTACAAGTGGTATCAAAGCTAAAGTCACGAGTTCGATTCCCAGCGGGAGCAATTGCTGAGGTGGAGATTGTTAGTCATGTGTGCATCAATTGTCATGCGGTAGAGGCTATGTGTTCAAGTCACAATTGAATGTTATGGGCATTTGTGTGCTGAATGTACTATAAAGCTAGGACATGCACCTCTTCTAACACCAATTAGTTTTTAAAGAGTTGGTGGAAATAAATAAATTTTTTTGTCATGATTTAGTGTGTGTTCTCTACAAATTTTTAGGAGAAAGTATCTTAGAAGTCGCTATAGTATCTAGAAATATTCAAATTAGTTTCTATATTCAAAGCCAAAGCAATTTAGTTTCTGTATTATTCTTTGTTCAATCATGTGATAATGTCACTTCTATATTGCTCTAAATTCATAGTGATACTTCAATTTTTACAATAGATGATATAAAAATATTCTTTAAGTTAACCATTCATACTCTTAATCCAATTTTAGTCATTATATAATAAATAATTTTATCTTTCATAAAAAAATAAAAATAAATGTATATTGTTCATAATATTTTTTAAAAATGAGTATAAATTTTTTCAAGACAATTATTTATCGTCATCTAAAATAAAATTAGACGTATCGTTGAGAATTTGGAACAATATATAAGGGAGAAGTGAAGAAAAGTATTTAATTGAACAAAAAAGAGTAGTACAAAGACTAATTGCTTCGATTTTGAATACGAAGACTAATTTGAATATTTTTAAATATTCTCCGTAATATGTACATGGACTTCCACAAAATTCTTTCTTTTATGTTTATTATACTCCGTAAATAAATCAAATCAGATTAAATGTTTTAAGCCCACCATGAAAGTCTGGTACGTGAAAGGCCCAATTCTAATTTCCAACGGGTTCCTGGATACCTGGTTTTAGCGGGTAAATTAAAATCAGGGTTTTAGAAAAACCCTAGACTCTGCGCAATTAACGAATCAAAGACGAGGTAGAAGTTCCCAGCTGCGTAGAACAATGGCTTCAGATTCCATGGATTCAATGAATATGAGGATCTCCGAGCTTTTGAAAGAGGTCCAGTTCGATTACTCTCCGGCGAACAACAAAATTATCGACGACGTTGTTTGCTCTATCAAAGATGCTATCGACAAAATCCCCGAGGACAAGGTAATTTTATTTTCACGACCGGTTTGAAGAATCGATTCATGTTTATAGGAGCTCGCGCACTGTCGTTTTTATTCTCTTCTTTTTTATTTAAACTTTAAGTTTCTGAAAAATGTGGGCAGGTTACTGCTGATTTAGCCCCGGGGTTCATCAGAGACATTAATGCTGATAAAGTTGAGTTTACGTTTAAGAAGCCAGTGTCAATGGAAATTGGCGGTAGTTATGCTATGCAATGCGTTGTAAAACTTGACATGAGTGTGGATCTTTTACTTCGCTTGCCAAAGGTATGCTGTGTGTGAGGGCAGATGCTTTTTTAAACATACTCATTCTACAGAATTTATTTTCTAGCAATTTTGAATTTGCATGAAATGCTGTAATGTGAGTTATTGTTTTAAATTTAGTATGGTAACTACATTAAAGTTGCTTCATTATTCCTATGTGACTGAGGCTTGAATCCAAAAATAGGCTCATTGCATATGCAAGGGTCAGGAAATGTAAAATAATCCTCCCGGCATGCTTGTGAAGACACCCTTATAAAAATTTCAGCAGTAAATCAAAAGGTCACAATAAGCTGACATTGTCACTCCGGATTCTGAATGGAGAAATTCTTATGAATCTACATGCAAAAGCTGCACACACCTCAATGACTGTTTAAGAATTCAACATGAGAGCCAAACTTTTCAATTTTCATCACGCATATGGTCAAGTGCATGTGGCGTTTCAAAGGAACTTCCACTTAACGAAATAGTTTTTCCATGAAATTTGATAGTGTAGGCATGAAGCTAAAAACAGTTCCTTTTTCCACTTATGACTAGCAGATTATGCCCTGAGTAGAAGCATCCACAGATTTGCTTTCCGAAAAGTAATATCTTCCTAGCTTTACAATTGTTCTGTAGTTTGGGTTACACCGCTTACATTTAACTGCTAGAGAAACAGTTCTGTATTTGTTTTTTTTGTCTGTGGGATAGTTAAATTTGGTTGCACATTGGCAGGTTTATACTTTGAATTTTGTTTTTGGAAACTTCAACTCACATAATTTAAAAATTCCAGTGTTACTTAGTATTTACTAGCTGCTTACACCTTTTGATTATGCAGTGCATGTCTTTGATGTCTCTTTCGGCAGGGATGCTTTCATGAGAAAGACTACTTGAACCATCGGTATCATGCCAAAAGATACCTCTATCTTTGCAAAATCAAGAAGCATCTGAAGGTTTTGCCACAGTTTGAAAATTTGAGGTGGTCTTCTTTTCAAAATGAGTCTCGGAAACCGATACTTGTAGTCTGCCCAGGTTTTCATTCTATGCATTGACTATAATTTACTTCAATGGGTGTTGTTGTTTTGAGTGCATGTTGTTGCTATTGAGACTATCCACTGATATACGTGTTTCAATCTCTTTAACTAAGTGAGAAATCATTAATTCTTAATAGCTACAAAGCTAGTTGAAAAGACTGGATTTGTTGTAAGGATAATCCCTGTGGCAACTTCTTTGTTTAATCCATTAAAGCTGCGGTTGGAGCGGAACAATGTCCGTTCTCATAATCAAGGTTGGTAGTAGTTTTTGTGCAAACATTTTCTATTATTCTTTGTCCAGACCCTGCTTATGTGGGATTCTACTGGGTTGTTGTTATTTTCTATTATTCTTTGTGTTTTACCGCCTACTGCCATACTTACATCCTTTGTGATTTTCCTATTAGGAGGTGTTTTACTGCCCACACCAAAATACAACAGCAGTATACTTGAGGACTTGCTTATGGAGTCTAATGTTTTATTCATCAACAAAACCTTTTCTGAATGGAAGGAATTGAAAGAAGCTCTAATACTACTTAAAGTATGAGGCCTATATGTGGTTGATCATATCTTAATTATACACTTTTTAGTGTTTACTTACATAGGACCTTATTGTTATCATCATGATGTAGGTTTGGGCTCACCAAAGGAGTTCAATATATGCCCATGATTGTTTAAATGGATTCCTTATTTCTGTTATAATGGCATTCCTTGCCAAAAGAACTGGTAGCAACAGCATTAAGAACATAATGAATTCAGTGCAAATATTTCGGGTCACCATGGAGTTTATTGGTATGTACTACTTTACATCTATGTTTGTTTTTTCTTTTTGTTTTAAACTTGCTACTATTATTGTAATAAGCACATGCACTGTTCTTTTTTAATGACATTTAGGATGTATCTTTTTCCATATACAGTCCCCCCCTTATAAGTTTTATCAATGGATGGAAACTATTAATTTAACTTGCATTTAAGTAAATTGTAAAAAATGTTGTATCATGTTAATGCTCCACTTTCCTAGGGCTACATGTGTAAAGAGGGGTAAAGATTCAGTAATTTTTGCTTTTCTAATTCCCCTTATGTTCATTGTAGCAAACTCTAAAATTTGGGACAAGGGACTTTTATTTAATGCAGTAGGTGAAAACAATGGATCAACCAAGGTAAGTTTTCACTAATTTTATGTTGACTTTGCTGTATTCTATAGCCTGCTCACATGTAATTCTTTTAGGGTCATATACTATAGTTCCCTTTCTTTTTAACCATCTTCATAGGTTGCATTGCTGTTTTATGTATTGTTCACGTTGAGATTCATCTCTTGATGGAATTTCAGAACACAAGGGTATGCTTCCAACAATTTCCTGTGGTTATTTCCAATGCCGATTCAGAGTTCAATCTGGCATTTCGCCTGTCACACAGTGGTTTCCAAGAGGTTCTATTCCTGAGCATTCTATTTATTGATTTTAACTCTACCTATGTTTTTGGCATTATATACCTTGCCATTTAAATTAGTTTGTTTCTTCAAGTAGACATGTTTTATCTCTTTTCTCTGCCACCCTGAAGGTCCTGATAGTTTCAATGTTTCCTGCTCGTTTCTAACCTTAAAGATGAAACGAGCCCGCAGCATAGTAGATAAGTACTCCCTCAATCCCTAAACAAGAGCCCCATTCCAAGAAATTTTATCATCCAAAAAAGTCAGAATTTAAAAGTAAACTTTCTTTTAAGCAAAGTTGTAAACTCCAAATGACAAATGGTTTTTATCAACTACTCCAAACAAATTCAGGAATAAGTTTTGGAGGTATAAAGAATCATCTATGATATTTTAAAGATTGGACCTTGATTGAATTGATTTACTCAAACCTGATATTTTGTGTAGATGTGATATTGTGATGTTATTTTGATGCAAAATCATCAAAAAAATTAAGTGAAACAAGAAGCTATTCCTAAGACAGTATATTTGAAATCAAAGAAATCA